TCTACTTTTTCTGCCTCTAGACTAACCACCCTTATTTACATCTTTCATTATTACTCTGAATCAAACTGTAGTATATCGTGGGGATTCCTTATCAGAATATAGAGGAACATACACATAGCTAGCAAGTTTGTTTTTTTTTTAATTTTGAGACAAAGACACGCTAAGTTGCTTAGTGCCTCACTAAGTTACTGAGGCTGGTCTCCAACTTGCGATCCTCCTGCCTCAGCCTCCCAAATTGCTGGAATTACAGATGTGAGGCACTGTGTCCAGCTCATCAAAGACTATTTCTTATTTCCTTCTCTCCGCCTCTGCCCAGGCCATTTCGGAGATTGCGGATCACCACCTAGATCCAGAGTTTCTTGAAGGCAGAAATTCCTTCCAAATCCCCAAAGTCCCTGGCACACAGGACACTCTTCATAAAAATATGTCAAATAAACATAGATGCTTATGAAGAAAAAAAGAAGATACTAGGGACCTGGAGGTTAGATAAAACTACCTGTAAGAGGGAAAAGTGTTAACCACTTTCCAATTTTTGGCTTGGAGGGAGACAGCATAAATAAAAATAACACCTAACTTCCCACCCAACTTTTTTTTTCTTTGAGACTGGGTCTCACTATGTTGTCCAGGCTGGTCTCAAATAATTTTCTGACCTTCATTTCTTGAAGAGTTAAGACTACAAATACACATCACCATGCTGGGTTTAACATCTAACTCTTATTGAGAGTTTACTTATTCTGTGTCTGTCACTGTGTTAAGAAATTTATATGTTGGGCTCGGGTTGAGGCTCAGTGGTACAGTGATTGCCTAGCATGGGTGAGTCACTGGGTTTGATCTCTAGCACCACATTAAAAAAACCTAAATAAACAAAATGAAGGTATTGTGTCCATCTACAACTAAAAATATAAAAAAATACATTTATATGTATTAGTTAATTTAATGATCACAATAATCCTAGGAAGCAGGTGCTATTGTTATCCCATTTTACAGATGAGAACACTGAGGTCAGTTAGTCTGCCCACTTTCACATACCTGAGAAATGGTAGGGCACAGTTTTAAACTCAAGCAATCTGATTCCAGACTCACACCCAAAGTGATCAGAGAACCACAATGTCAACCCTGCATAAGATCCTTATCATGGCTTTTCATTCTCCTTCCTTTTGGGCATTTCCCCCAAGTATTTCCAGATGGAACTAAAGGCTTTCATCACTCCCTTTTTCCAACCTCAACCCCATTTTCAGAAATATGCATTTCTCCCACCCATCCTTTCAGAGGGCGACCCTCACCCTCTTCCCCTCTACGTAATCAAATGCCCTGCAAGTTGGCATGGTGTCGGAGACCAAAAGACTTGTTCCATTAGAAATACTCTGGGATTCTCTCCGCCTTTTAGGAATGCCCCTGAGACAGATATCTCTTCCAGCCCTGCAGGCTTGGCATTCCTCATAGCCTTCTCCAGAGGGCCTCTCTTCTTTGTCAATCTGGGCTCTGTTCGCCTTTAACCCACTCCAAGCCTTCTTGTTGTCTCCTTGTCCATTTGTGCAGGAAAGGTCCAGCAGAGTGCTATAGTTTTTCATCATGTGTGTTGATTAAAGCTAATGGGGGACCTAAGATCAGGGGCCCAAAAATGACCAAGCTGTTCAACTCTCAATAAAATACTTGGTAGAACCCAAACTTGAAGCAGCAGCCTCGATTTCCATGTTGACACCCTTGGGGATTGTTGCTATGGAAATGCTAGAGAGACACTGGCCACAGTGATCATTACTTCCCCTCTCCATTTTCCTTAATGAGACTCCCCCACACTCTTCAGATATCAAAGGAATCCAAGGCCACCCTAAACCAAGCAAATTCTGTTCCACTAATCCTGCAAGTCCAGTCTAGCTTTTCTAAACAAGGTACTTGATGGTCCTGGTTTCTTGCATCTTTAAGAACCCTCTTAACTTCTGGGAGACTGTAGGGGGGTAACCTGTGGACACTTGAATGTAGGAGACGGAGAGGGAGTGTAATTGTGTGTGTGTGTCTATGTGTGTTCTCAATGTCATCTGCTCCAGACCTGGCATGGATACAGCAACCCAGGCAGTTAAGCACTGGGATACTGATGAGAAAAAACAATGCAGAGAATGACCGAAATACTTAAATGGGTTCAGTGAAAAAGGCACACTGGATTCTAAGTGTACAAAAAGCAAAGCAAGACATATACCACATTGCGACCCAGACATCCTACCACTATGACTTAGGCCATTAACTTTGGCTACCCCCAGCCCCCAGATTCCTTGGAGAAGTCAGAGGTATGCAGGAAAATAGGGTGCACACAGCTCTCTCTCCAACTTATCCTTCCACCCTCTGCAAAGAGAACAAAGCCCAAGAACATAAGGGCCTCCAAAGCCCAAGCCAGCCGCAGTGCAGCAGAGGTGAAGGGAAAAGCTGTCACAGGAAAAAGCAGAGCTCTGCTTTTTTCTTTCTTTCAGTCTTCCCTCACCTTCCCAGACATCCTGAAACAGCTTCCTCCACTGTTCCTCAGACAGTTCCCCCACACACTGGGCCCAAAAGGGATCAGGAGAGGAAAAAAGGTAGGAGATATCATTCCCTCACTGGGACCCTCAAGGATCTCAAAACCATGTCTCCTGCCAGGCACAGTGGTGTATGTCTGTAATCCCAGCAACTTGAGACGTTGAAACAGAAGGATCACAAGTTCAAGGCCAGCCTCAGCAACTAAATTGCTGAGGTGAGGACCTCAGCAATTTAGTGAGACTCTGTCTCAAAATTAAAAAAAATAAAAAATAAAATTAAATGAAAAAATCTGGGGATGTAGCTCAGTGGGTAAAGCATCCTGGGTTAACTCTCCAGTGCCAAAAAAACAATTATGACTCCTATAGCCCTCAGTCCCCTGCATGAAGAATTAATAGTAAGTCCTAAAAGGAAAGCTCCAGGGATATTGCCTGAGACAAAATGGCCCCCTGCAAACATTTATCTTAAGTGAGAGACTGACAGGAAGGCCAAGGCAAGGGAAGATACAGAGTGAGACAAAGGTACATATCCACAGATATCAGGCAGAATAGACAAGAAAACATTGGCTGTGGAGCCAAGATAGAATCTAAATCAGCAGGGGCCTCGGCTTCTCTCCATCTCTCCTCTATCCCATCTCCAACAGGGTCTCTCCTGTTTTGCTGGACTGACTGGACAGATCAATACCTCAATCCCTCCTCTCAACACATCTAACTTATCCCACACACTAGGAAAGCCCAAACAGCCTAAAGGAGTCACCTCAGACTTACTGGAAAATCCTTCCAAAACAAGGAAGTCACACTTAAAGTAGAAACCTTTTGTGGATTTGCTTGTCATGACAGCCAGCTCCTGTTTATCAGCCTTAATATCTCAAGCAGACCCCAAGCTCCAACTCCCATGGCCTGTTGTTCTGGCTACTTAGAGAGGGGGCCCCCAAGAGTTGATATGGGCTTTCTTTTAGACTGGCCAAACTTGACTGATCGGACTACAAGGCCTGAGGTCCTTGAGGCAAAAGAAACAGAGGTCCTCTTCTTATGTCAAACATATACTCTTACACACACACTCACACACACATCTATAAACATACATGACAAGGCAAAAGCACCACTGGAGTTCAGAGAGTGGGTGTGGGTGGTGACAGGCTGGGGGTGGGAGCTTGGGGCCCTCCCTAAAGCCTGTGTATGAAACTCCTATTACTGACTCAGAAGGCCCAGGCATCCTTCCCTTTTTTCCCTCATTCCTTTAACGGCATGTTTCCAGGTGCTTTGTGTCAAGCGCTATGAATCAAATATACATAAGAAGCACCCCTGACCTTGAAGATTGTCCTCATACATGCCCCTCCTTCTTAAATTGGCAATACTTTCCTAGCCCAGCACCCCCAAGCCCTACAGGATTTGACCCCAGGTCTCTTCACTACCCACACAGCCTGGGAAAGGTGGAGTGGGTAAAGCCTAGAAACTCCCTTTGGGCCACAGAAGAAGGTCCAGAATGGAAATGTGGGAAGGCAATATGATATGAAGGAGAAGGTGTGATTCACAAACTTGGATTCAGATCTATGGATTCTCAGCATGACCTTGAGAACGTCATTCAACTTCTTTTGGCCTCAATCTCCTCATCTGTAAAATGGAAATATCAACACTACTTTAGAGTGTTTTTTGAAGATTTAATACTCTACATAGAGTAATAAGTAAAAAATAAATACTAATTCTCCTTCTTAAGATCTCCTCCATGGGTAAGGGCTGTCATGATGAGGTAGAGGTCAACTGCTACTTTTTATTGGATCAAGAGCAAGGATGAATAAGCAAGTATGCATTACAATCTCAGGGTTTGGATATATTTATTTAGGGAGTACAATTGGGAAGTCTGAAATCCTCTTCCTACTGTACCTGGGATGGAAAGGCAGATAGGTCCTTAGAATTCCAGAGGCTTCCCTGAAACTGGGTGTGGCATCAATATATTTCTTTCCCATAAAACCCTTCATCAGACCTCAATCCTCTAAGTACAGACGGTATCTACTTTAGGGGAAAATGGAGGGCTTGGACCTAGAGCCCACTCCCATTCATACCTCCACAGAGAACCTGGACTACCCATCTCCCTTTTAGCCCATCCACTATCTTCTCCCTCCCTTCCTAGGATGTGGGGGTAAAGACCTAAGCCAATAACAAAGGGAAAATGCGCTTTCTCTGGGCGAGAGAGAAAACATCAGAAAAACATGGGACTGGCTCCAAGGGGTGGGGATGTGGCTGCTCCCAGCCATGGAGAGTAGGGTCTCCTGATGGGGAAGGGGCCCCCTCCCACTCTGCAGAGACTTGGCTGCAGGCCTAGCCAGGCCACACCCAGCCATCCTGATGCAGGGGAGAAAAAGGAGGGGCTGCGGCGAATAGGATGGTGATTGAGCGGCGGGGAGGGAGCACAGAGTGACAAGCAAAGGCTAAGATTCTACGGGGGTGAAGATTCAGCCTCCCGCCCCTCCCCTAATTCCGTCCGGTAGCAGCACTCACTCCGATAACAACGCTGTCGTCCCCTTGGAAAATGGGGATGAACTTGTCTCCCCGCAGAATCTCTGCCTGGTTCAGGGGCCGAAATCGGCAGAGAACCTTGATGCTGCATTCGTTGTTAGTCTCCGCCATGGTGGTCGCCAAGTAGAGCTGGGGCACTTCTCAGGCTGCAGGAATGGTGTGTGCTCCGAAGGAGGGGTCGCTCAGCTGAGACCAAGACGGAGGACAGGTGCTCGATCGCTGGGGCCGAGAAAGCAGCGGGGGCGCCCGGACGAGGCGGCGGAGCAGGGCCGGGGAGCGGTTTAGTCCACTGCAGCTCTGAGATGCGGGCAACCTGGGCGTCTGGTCCTCTGTGCACTGCCTCTCCGCCCCTCGCGCTGCAGCCGCGCTGCGGGCCTGGGCGGGGCGCGACCGAGCAGTGAAGGCGGGGCTTCCTTCGAAGGGGGCAATCTGCTTGTCTTGGACCACCGAAAGGTGGGGCCTGGCCTCACTCTCGCCTTCTTCTCCCGCCCCAAACGCCGGAGGATAACCTTGTCCTCACCCTTTCCCGACCCGACTAGCTCACAGCATCCCACCCCCACGCCCCCGACCTGTTTGTTCTTCCCTCAGACTCCACCTCCGGGAAGGGATGAGGCGGGGGCTGAGGTGGGCCGGTTGCCTGTCTAGGGAAGAAGGTCCACAAGACTTCCAGTCCTTTTATTTCAGTGCATCCCTCAGCCTCATTACAGTACTCTCTCCAATCTGGGAACACATTTCTTCTCGATCCCCTCCCCCCACAGACGCACAAAAGCTGAACTCCAAACCCATTCAGCTTTCAAAGACAACTTTCTGAACCCCTGTGGAAGTGGGTATCCAGATCCCATTGTCATATGCAAGTGTCAAAGGAGGATCTGTTACTTCCTTCCCCTTCTACATCCAAAAGTGCACTCTTTTCTCTTCCCAACATACACACCAGGTCCCCAGGTTGAGGCAAGACAAACTCCCATTCTGGACTATCAGAATTTAAAAGCAGACCAAATTTTCATTTTTGCCTCATAGGTTGGGACTAGGATGGAGGTGGGCAAGAATAGGGGGATGGTGTTGAGAGTGGGTAAGGCTAGAGGGACTTTGACAGAATCTTTAGGGCAAACATCTGCATTTGTGTTTCAAGTAGGCTTAGGCACCTAATGTGAATGTTTGTTTCTAGTCGAAGTTACCATTGGGTAGGGGGTAGGGACCCTACTCAATGGGTCCCTACCCAACACCCCATCCCCTTTCTTCACTGCTTCTCCCCTTTCTCTGGAAACAACAAAACAAAACACCCCGAGGTTCCTTGTCCTTCCTGCACTTGGGTCAGACTCCTGCTGCAGCTCCTGAGCGGAACCACCCAGGAGCTGGCCAAATTGCCTTTTATCCAGAAGCTGCCCAAATTGATTTTTATCCACATCACAGGCCTCTTTTAGCCAACACAGAAGTGGATTGCAGAAGTTGAGACTCTTGGTGAAGAAGAGGGGCAGCATGATGGGAGAAGGGAGGAAGAAATGTAGGTTCTGTTTAGAAATTGGTCAGTATCTACAGTCACTTAAGACATTATGGGGCAAGGGTAAGAGGCTAATGGCCTGGTCAGATAAGACCTAACTCTACTAAGGCCTGGGCACAGTGGAACACACCTGTAATCCCAGCAGCTTGGGAGGCTGAGGCAGGATGATTACAAGTTCAAAGCCAGCCTCAGCAAAAGTGAGGTGATAAGTAACTCAGACTCTATCTCCAAATAAAATACAAAATAGAGCTGGGGATGTGGCTCAGTGGTTGAGTGCCCCTGAGTTCAATCCTGAGTACCCCTCCCCCCAAAAAAACCCACTCAAATGAGGAGGTTACCCATATTGGACCCACACTTCTAACCCACTTTAAATCTTGAAGACACTGAAGGAAGGGGGTCCAGCAGAAGCAACTGAATAAGAAGGCAGTAGTCTGTGGGAGAAAAAGGCAGAGGCTTGGGGAGGAGCCAGGAGAGAGAACACAATGAGTTCCAAATTCAGGAACTCTCCAGTCATTTGATTTGGCAATATTTCTGAGTTGCAGCATCCTGCAAACTCAGGAAACATCCCAACTTCAGGCCATCAGGGGCTACAAGGTGGCATCCTTAGCAAAGGAGCTGCAAAATGCCAGTCCATAAGGTGTCACTAGTCAGAAAGAAAAGTTTAATGGGTGTGTCTGAACCCCAAAGAACAATGTAGTGAGTTTCACATAAAGCTGGATTTGTTGAGTCTCAAAGGACTTTTACTCTAAGAATTTGTCCTTTTACTTTTCTACCAAGTAATAGTAGAAATGGTATCTTGTAGGTTTTCTATTTGTAAAATATTTACCTGGTAAATTAAATATATAGCTTCACTATGTGTATCCTTAAGAAAGGTATGTTGTTTTAATTTTATTGAACCGCAAAATTCAGAAGTCTGGGAACTATTAATGAAATGATTAAGAGGATAGAGAGCGTTTAGACAGACTCAGAACCGTCATTTATCCATTTGTGAACTTTAGATAGGATTTCCAAACTTGAAAAACAAAAACAAAAGCAATTTATCTAGTTAAATTTGAATTTTAGGTAAGCAATTTTATGTGTCTCAAATATGGGACAAAACAGAGCAAAACCAAACAAAACACCAATACTAATTTTTATCTGAAATTCGAATTTAACTAGATGTCCTGTATTTTATATAACAGTCCTAACTTAAGAAGACTGCTTAACTTTTCCATTCCAAACATGCTAAGTCTTAACTAAATTTTACTTATTACTACTGTTTTTTGAAGCCCTCACGACATGACTACTTGATTTTATCTCGTCACTAATTCCTGGGAGTCTAATACGGGAATTAAAAAAGTTCTTTCCCAGACTTGATGTAAAAATTAAAGGAAATAAGTTGAACGAAATAGCTCCCTAAAGTGCATTCCCCACCCAAGCTCCAGAAAGCCAGGACTACATATCCCACAATTCTAGGCGACGATCCTCGCCATTACCTCATTGCTCGGCCTCGCTCTCGCCAATCCCACCGTCTCCAGGGGTGTGGTAGCGGGGTGTTCTCGCGACTTTTGCTTTACCCTTCTGGTGTGCTACTCCTGTCGCGAGACTTCCCGCTCCTCTGCCGCTCCCTTTGCCGCCGCCTTAGCTGGGGACCCGGACCCAATCTCTCCCCTACCCGATCACCCGCCCCGACTCCACCGAGGCTCCGGTCCCCCAGCCCCGCCTCGCCGCCGCCATGGCGGACCCTAAATACGCCGACCTTCCCGGCATTGTGAGTACAGGGCCGGCCCTGGCTCCCCAGGACCGCGCCCCCGACCTCCCAAGGACCCCCAACAGAAACCAGCCCGTGACCCCTCCCGCCTGCAGCCCCTCCTCCGCCCCAAGGGCTCCTGCCGCTCTCTCCCCGACCGGCTGCAGCACCTTCCGGACTCCTCTGACCTGACTGGGCCTGGCCGTAGGACGGCGCATCAGGCCCCCTTTCCGGCAGTCGCCGGTTTCTCGGCCCAGAAATCGTCAGGGTGTTTACCACTTGTGCCCGAGTGTTTCTGTCATCCGTGTCAACACCACCCGTGCCTCCCCCAAATCTCCCAATAAGCCCCCCATCCCTACCCTGGACATACTCACCAGACAACTTGGTGACGGTCTTCATCCTGCCAAAGGAAGAGGTTTACTGTGGCAGAACCCTTCTTGTGCCCCATGGAAATTCTGTCTTTTGGGGGACCTATGTCTGCCCCTCACTCCTCATGAACAAGTTGGAGTGTACCCCCCTTTGGTGCTCCCCTGCCTGCATTCTCGGGGTGGGGGTTGGGGCACAGAACCTTAGGAATTAAGGTCCTGAGTCACTCTTAACCCATATCACAGGGGCCTAATTCGAGGAAGGTCCTCACCTATCTTGGACAGAATGATTACCAAGGACCCTTCCTGTCCAAGTTCAGGATAACATCTTTGTTATCACATTCACTGTTTATCCTTAGGTCCCATTTGTACCCGCTGTCACCCCCACTTCACTGAGACAAGGGAACTGACATGCCATTAGTAAGGCAGATGGAGAAGAAAGAACAGAATCCTGGTATCGCAGAACCCTGCCTTCTCCATTAGTTTGTTCAAATGGAGTTGGGTAAGAGGTTGGTGGATGCTAGGTAGTGAGGTTGGGTGGTCACTGCTTCTACCTGCAGGCCAGGAACGAACCAGATGTTTATGAAACCAGCGACCTACCTGAGGATGATCAAGCAGAGTTTGATGCGGTAAGACTATGTGCTGCCTCAGGATTCCTTGGACTCTGACCTCTCTTCCCTCATAGATCCTTTCCCTACTTTGGCAAGCGACCACAATAAGTGGGTATGCCAACCCCAGCCTGAGTGGTATGTAGGTTGCAGAGCTTGCAGCCACCAACAAGCAATGCCAAAGGAGAGTCAAGTCAGTGAAATTACAGCTAACAAGATCTATTTGCAAATCCCTGATTCTTGGTCCTTTTAAATAAAATTGAAATATCTCAAAACTATTACATTTGGGACTAGTAACTTAATTAGGCTTTTGGGATCTAACCCATTTCAATGGGTCCTAAAGCCCGAGCATATATAATCTGTTTGATAGTAGAAAGTAGGCCTTTTTTGTTATTATTTCACTCAAATGTGTTCATTAGTAACCTACCAAGAACTAGACTTTAAACTAGAGACATACTCTTCCATGTGAATATCCAGTGTTCATTGGTCAAGGAATAAGAAAATTATTTGGAGATTCTAAAAAGATAAGGGTAGAGCCAAATAAATTTGAGGGAAAACATAAGCCTTTCATATCAGCAGAGAAGAGGTCATGGCAGCACTTTGGCATCCAAGAACTCTGAGGAGGAGGGAATTAGCTGTAGATACATTTTAACCATGAGAAAAGCGCTTAGCATTGTTTATTGAATATGTTCAATTTGTGTTGATTTGTTTGGGTTTTGGTACTGGGGATTGAACCCAGGGGCACTTAACCACTGAACCACATCCCCAGCATTTTTTATTTTGAGACAGGGTCTCACTGAGTTGCTTAGGGCCCCAGTATATTGCTGAGGCTGATCTCAAACTTTTGATCTTCCTGCCTCAACTTCCTAAGTCTCTAGGATTACAGGTGTGCACTACCACGCCTGGCACCTGTGTTGATTTTTGTGCAATGCAGAGGAGGAAATGTCCCTTCCCTCAAGGAGCCCCAGACTAATGAGGGGATTAGGATACATATGAGAAATAATGGAAGAATTAAGATGGATACATATAGAAAACATAAGGAAGAAAAAAATGAAATTGAATGGAAATCAATATAATAAAACTCTGTAAGTGCCAACAAAGACAAAGATCTATAAGCATTTCTTATAGTATATATGTTTTAGGTTTTATTTCCACAGAGATCTGGGCTGGGGTCACATTGATGCTGTGAAATATCAGTGAAGGCCCGACCATAAGTCATGGAACAGTCTCAATATATGGCCCAGTTGGTGTGTCTTTAAGTCCTGTGGCCATGTCTGTGGGGCTGGTTAGTTCTGGGAATTGCTGGTTGCTGATTTATAATGTATGGCTTGGCGTACTCACTTATTCCTTATTTGGTTCCCCGTGTGAAAGTGCTTCCTACATTGTAGGGAACACCTTCCCTGTTCCTTCTCTCAGTGGTATGTTCCTTGTGGCTTCTGTTCTTGCTGGCATGTCAGTCTGTCCCCCAAGCTTAAATATCTGGAGATAATGCATATGATGTTGCCCAAGGACCTGACTGCACCTGTCACTCCAAGAGGGTAGCAGTGTGGGAGGAACCTGTCTCCATCCCCACAAGGTAGCAGTGTGTATGCTGAGGAATTCCCTGTACTACCACAGTTTAAAGATTGTTCTCCTTATATTTTGGGCTCTGCCTATAAAATATCAAGCCTTCATGGTGAAATAATGAACAGAATTCTGTCCTTTTGTCACTTAACTGTGATACAAATGGATAATTGTCACATCAGTCCCCTTTTCAAAGAAAAAATTACATTTTCATTTTCCTTTTGAAGATACTTGAATAACTCTTAATAAAAGGAAGATGATGCCCATTGTAGGTGTGGAAAACCTGAATGTGTAGCTCTGAATATGTGGCTCTTTTCTCCCCTCTATGTCAGAGCAGTCTATTTTAGTAGCAACTAGTACAGTGACTTTTGGGGAGGGCACACCACAAAGTTTATCTCCTGTGGCATGTTGCTCAGGATGCCAGTGTAGAGGTGCCTAGGAGCTGGATGGTTAAATACAGAAGGAGTTGAGTTGCCTTCATCACCTGAGGCTCAACTAAGTGACTCTCTGTCATTAGAGATTAGTAGGTGGAATGGGGAGAACTTCAGCTGCTTTTGGAGCCTGATGTTTCCTGATGACAGCTAATATCTGGCCCCTGCATATCCCAGTGGTCTTAGGAGAACAACTTTCAGGAAATCAACTGAATAAATGGCTCTTAATACTGAAGTAAATGTGCAACTCAAAAGAGCAGTGAATTGTATTCTTAGCCAGCCAGAAACATTGTATCCACCAGGCCTGCTTTCTGACTAGCAACCTATCCCCTTATCACCTACCTGCCTGAGACCTAGCACAAGTAGCAGTGCATATGATATATGAGTTTTTCAATTACCTCTTAATGCCTGGCAACAGCATTCTCTGCCTTGGTCTCCAGATTAATTTTAACTTTGATTATTTATTTATTTACATATGTTCATTTATTTATTCAGTTCCAGGGATTGAATCCAGAGGCGCTTTACCACTGAGCAGCAACCCCTTTCTGTTTTTGTTTTTTATTTTGAGACAGGGTCTGGCTAACTTTCTAAGGCTGGCTTTGAACTTGCAGTCCTCCTGCCTCAGCCTCCTGAGCTACTGGGATTACAGGCATACACCACCATTCAACTTTAATTTTATTAGCATTTTTTTTTTCTTTTGTCTTTTTGATGCTGGGAATCAAATCCAGGGTTGCTCTACCACTGAGCTACATCCCCAGTCCTTTTGATGTTTTGAGACAGCTTCTTGCTAAATTGCTGAGAGTCTCACTAAGTTTCCAAGGTTGATCTCAAACTTGTGATTCTCCTGCCTCAACCTCCCAAATTGCTGGGATTACAACTATGTACCACTATGCCCAGCTAATTTTATTATTTTTAAAAATAGATAATAAATGCACAGAAAACAAAACAAAACAAAAAATTCAAGGTAGGGTAGTGAAAAGTCTGTCCCCTACCCCTGGCTAACACCACTCAGTTCCCTTCCCTGGAGACACCAATATGGCCACCTTCTTGTGGAACATTTTGGAGAGTCTCCAGATTTTTTTTTAATTTACTTTATTTTTTAAAAGATATTTTTTAGTTGTAAATGGATCATTTATTTTATTTATTTACATGTGGTGCTGAGGATTGAACCCAAGGCCTCACACATGCCAGGCAAATGCTCTACCACTGAGCCACAACTCCAGCCCTCAAATTTTTATTGAAAAGGATTATCAAGTAGTGTTGATGCTCACTGCCCTTTAACCTCCTTTCTCTGATTTCTTCACTGCAGAAGAAATTGGACTACTGAAGGAAACAATGTCTTTTAATGTCCCTTAAAGATCTTAATTGCTAGATAAACATAAAAGTTTTATGATTCCCATAGTGGGGGAAATGGGAAAAAAAAGTAGCAGAAGATTTTAGTTTTTCTACAGGGATTTTTCTCCTAAAATCCCTTTAAAACAATTTTAGCCAAAAGTAGAATATTCTAAAATAAGAGTAGGTAAGAAAACTGTACAGACTCACCGTTTCCTTCATGATCTGGGAAGGTCTCTGCATTTCAGATACTCCTAGGTTGAAGAGCAGCAGGCTTATTTGGAAACTTTTCTTAAAATGTTTTATTAGGAAAACTAGTTCCCAAATGGAATGCCTTCCCCCAGACCCACAGCCTGCCTTGGGTCAGTGAGGCATTCTGCTCATGGCTTTTGAACTGCTGGAGCAAGAGGAATAAGTTTAAGAAAGTCTCACTAAAATTATGATTTTGTTTCTCCCTTTATTGTGTAACTACCCCCAATGCTATGTAAAAGAATGGAGAGTTAATTAGCCAAAGCTTGGTAGGGTACCAGCAGAGGCTGCTGGATACTCCCCAATCTGAGATGAAAAACAGTAGGTTTTCTTTCTTACAGCTTAGAATATCTAGAGAATGCTTGATTGTGTTCGCTGACTGTTGGTGCACTTGAACTTAACCTGAGTTTTTCCTAATGCTTCCCCCATCCTCCCTCCTCACCACCCTGCCTGGACACTAGTTTGCACAAGTAAGACCATTCAGTGCTTCTTCTCTGCATGTTTTTTTTCATCTGCCACCTCGCATGCAATGCTCTGCCACTGTGCAATTGTTGTAGCTAATCATTTTTAATTCCAATGAGTCCCTAGCTGGGTCACTGAGGAGCCTGCTGGCCTTATTATTAAAATCATTAATCAAGGTTTAGAAAAACAACTATGATCCACAAATCATTGTCTCTCCCCCTTGTGAGGTCTGAAGAATAAAACTGTCCAGTGGAGGATGGGATAGAAACATGGAGGCTATGATGCTTTTAAACGAGGCATTTAGGGATCAGAGTTAGCAAGGGTATGCCTTTTTCTTCTTGAGACTATATGGAATTAGATTTTTATGGAATGACTTTGAGACATTCTAGACAAGGGCAGAGAACAAGGAACAGCCAAAGTCTTGCCTTCTTAGTTATATGGGATTATTCCTGGGGAAAGAATCCTCATGTTAATATTCTCCCATGCTAAGCCTTTAGAGAAACGTACATAGGATGGGAAGGAAGTATTATATTGCAGTTCTAAGATAATTTGTGTTGTATTTTTGCAAGTCTTTCTGTTTCTGCACCCCTCCTTTAGAAATGGATGAATGGTCAGCATTGCATTTGTCCATCCTGGACAGTTTTATTCTGTGGCTCTCTCCACCTTCCCTGTCATCATGGTTCTGAAGTCTCCCTGCCTGCAATGTTGGTGTAGAGCCTGAAGAGGTTCAGGGGTAGCAGTGGTCACTTCCCTGCCTGATTTAGAACCTCAGATCTTGTCTTCTGTGACCCAGACACTTAGTCAAAGAGCCCTGGGGAGTCTGGGAGTCCATTAGTGAGAGGGACTGAGAGTCTTGTACCAGGTAAACTGGTATTTATAGTCAGGGCACTTGGAATTTTTCTATCAAGGTGATTGTGGTGTACTAGGTTTCCATGGTAACTATTACTACACCAAGTAATAGAAATTCTGCACAAAATCTCATTATCCTTCAACCCACCCGTAAGATTGACCTGGAAGTGGTGTATATATCTAAAAACAATGTACCACTTTTCCTTTTCCTTTGAGTTTTCTGTCCTCCCCATTCTGCCCATTCCTTATTGTTTGAACTTGAGTTTATGGCCCATTGTCCCCCCAACCCCTTGAGTTTCTCCCTTGCTGGTTTTAGCTTGGTGAGACAAGTCAGAGAAATAGTGCATAGCATGTGTACCTCCCTTGTGTGTCTGCATGTGTGCACTTGTGAGTGCTTAAGCCCACTGTGGAGACAATCCAGCCTAGACCACAGGACCTGGAGCCACTTCTTCCCTGGGCTAAAAGAGGAGCCTTGCCTGGGCTGGATCCTGGCATTGGCTAGGTACTGGAAAGGTTGAGGGTCAATGTATCTGGCTTAGATTTTGGAGTAGGGAGCACTTATCTTTCTCCCACCATGGGTTTTTTATGTATATGTAACCATACTCAGTTTTCCCTCCTTCCATCTGCCTATCAGCAGAGCTCCACAAAAGCAGAACATGCAATTGAATTTCCCCTCCCAGCAGTTTTAAACCAATGTTGTCTAGAATGGAGACCTTATCTCTGTGGCCTGGACTAAAATAAGGCCTTTTTAGAATACTCTCACCCTTCCCCCTTGTCCCTCCTCTATCCCCTGTGAGACTTGTGAACAAGGGGTTGGAAAAACATGTTATACTCATAGGCTGGTAGCTGTGAAGCTTGGTGTCCTCTGGGCTGTTTGTGCTAGTATATCATGGCAGAATTTCTCAGCATCACTCAGAGCTACAGGGTGAGTTACCAACCACTCAGGATGAATACATACTAGGCTGTGAGAGGGACCAGGTTTTGCCCTGCCTCTCTCTGGCAGCGGAAAATAAGAATCAGACTGCAGTTGGGTACTTCATGTTTCCTTATAATCACCATCAGTACCTGACATATCTTGTTCTGCCTGGCCTAAAGTTCTATTAGACCATCCATAGGAGTACCTTTTGACTTAATTCTGCCATCCAAATGTCCAGTTTTTCACAAGTAAAGAAACCAAGAGACAGGAAGACTTAGACCATGAACTAAGAAGGTAAACTTCCCCTTTGAGAATTATGGACCTTCAATCAGCTACAGGTCCTCAGAGTCTCCATATCCTCTGCTCCATATTCTGCCATTTCTACAACTTCCCCTCTACCTCAGCCTTCTTGCACTTTTCTGTTCCATGCTACTAGCTTCTAACATCTAACTCCCAGTTCTCAGATGATACTAGATTGCTGTTGTTAATAGCAAAGCTTCATGACATCCTCACCACTAGAGAAGAAAGGGTGTCATGGTCTTATTTTCCTTGGGGTATATGATGACCCCAGCTAAAATTTCTTGGCCCCCAAATTTTGCTAGGCTCCCCTGGGGCCCTGTGGTATTGTATATTTAAATACTGTCATATAGTGCATGTGACAATTTGCTAATAATAATTTTGTCTTTTTTTCCCCTCCCTCCTCCCCATTCCCCAACTCCCTCTCCTTTTAACTCTTTTGATTTTCTCACCTCTGGGGAATCCACAAGGAGCTGGTAAGAAGCCTGACCTTTCATCTGCTTTTTAACGGGGTGTGCTGTATGGGCAGTTATTTTTCTGTCCTTTTGTTTCTACTAAATCTTTCATCCCTCTATTCAGTCCTATACTCAGCTGACAAACTTTTCCTGTCTCACAGGTCACTGTAATGACACTACCCCTAACCCATGCCCCAGGTCTTTTAGACATTGGTGGAGCAGATGCCACTGGAGAACTATTGTGTGCTGCCCACCTGAGTCCCCTGAGGCCATATCCTTTAAGAGGCTCACAGAGGATGCCAATGTCCTGTCCAGGTCATATTTATATAGCAGGGAAAAGTACTGTTTATTTCTCTGACTGTCCAGAATCTCTGAGCTTCACCTTTCTAGTGAAGCTTCACCTTTCAAGTGTTGGGACATTTTTTACCCCCCTTTCCCCCACTTTCCTTACTTAGAAACATAAATAAGAATGTAGGTTCTCATCTACATAGCACCTGTTTATAATAATAACTTAACAGATGGTGGTTATGATTTATTTCCTTGATCTGTAGGTTATACCTCTCATTCCTTATTTATTTATTTGTTTATTTTGTGTGGTGCTGGGAATAGACCCCAGGCCCTTGAACATGCTAGGCAGGAACTCTACCAAGGAGATACACCCCCAGCCCCTATTTTTCATTCCTTTCCTTCTCACCCCCGCTCCTTTCTTTCATACCAGGGATTGAACATAGGGCACTTAACTACTGAACCACATACCCAGCCCTTTTCATTTTTTGTTTTGAGACAGAGTCTCGCTAAGTTGTTTAGGGCCTAAGTTGCTGAGACTGGCTTTGAACTTGCAATCTTCCTGCCTCAGCCTCCTGAGCTGCTGGGATTACAAGCACATGCACCACCACGCCCAGCCCATTCCTCTTTTTAAAAGGACTTAAAAATTTTAAAGTGGCCTTGATTGGGGCTTTCATGGGGAGAAGCCCCATATTCTTTGTGTGTGTGTGTGTGTGTGTGTGTATGTATGTGTGTGTGTGTGTGTATGTGTGTGTGTGTGTGTGTAATTGGGAATTGAACCCAGGGCCTTGTACATAATAAGCAGGCACTTTATCATTGAGCCACATCCTCAACCCTTTAAAATAAATTTTTTAAAAAAATTTATTTTTTAGTGGTAGTTAGACACAATACCTTTATTTCATTTATTTATTTTTATGTGGTGCTGAGGATCGAACCCAGGACCTCACACATGCAAGGCGAGCGCTCTACTGCTGAGCCACAACCCCAGCCCCTAAAAATAAATTTTAATTTTTTGTTTGTTTGTTTGTTTTTTGAGATAGGATCTCATTATGCTGCCAAGGCTGGCCTCAAACTTGAGTTCCTCCTATTTCAGTCTCCTGAGTAACTGGGATTACAGGCCTGTGCCACCAGGCCCAGGAAGAAGTTGCATATTCTTTTTATTTTCATTTTGAGGTAGAGTCATGCTAAATTGCTCAGGTTAACCTTAAATTTGTGAACATCCTGCCTCAGCCTCCCAAATTGTTGGGATTACAGGTATGCACCACCATGCCTGGCTAGAGATGGCATATTCTTTTTTTTTTTTTTTTTTAATATTGTTTTTAGTTGTTGATAGACCTTTATTTATTTATATGCAGTTCTGAGAATTGAACCCAGTGCCTCACACATGCCAGCAGTCAAGTGCTCTACCACTGAGCCACAACCTCAGCCCCTAGAGGTGGCATATTCTTGATTATCAATTTAAGATAAGTGGTTGTCTACTCTAAACCCGAATTCTTCTCAGCTTATAGAAACCAGAGACCACACGGCTATTTGGCAAATGGGTGCTTTAGCTATAATTTCAGAGAATGTTATTTTTTGCTGGGGAGGGTGGTTCTTTTCAGTTTTTGGACCCAGAACCTCAAACATGCTGGGCAAGCTCTCCACTACTGAGTTACATCCTCAGTCCTCAATTTGTGATCCTATCTCAGCCTCCCTGAAAACTAGAATTACAGGCCTGTGCAATCATACCCAGCCCCTTTCAGAGAAGGTTCAAGAGGGAATCATTTGCACTTTCATGTGCGGCATTCAGCCCTTTTGTTTTCCCTACCTCTATAACTCCTGCCCTTACATCTAGCAGCCTCTGAAGAAAAAAGAGAGATCAAAGTTGATAATTCTTATTATCTTTTTTTTTTTTTTTTTTTTGGTTCCAGGGATTGAACCAAGGGGTACTTAACTATTGAGCCACATCCCAGCTCTTTTTTATTTATTTATTTTTTTTATTTTGAGACAGAGTTTCAATAAGTTGCTTAGGGCTTCACTAAGTTGCTGAGGTTGTCATTGAACTTGCATCCTTCTGTCTCAGCCACCCAATCAGCTGGGATTATAGGCATGTACCACCATGCCTGATTCCCCCTTTATTTTTAAAGCTGACATCCACACTGATTCCTTCTCTAATAGCAGAGCAAAGGTGAAGGACAGACCCTTCCTCTATCTGTTGCTAGCTCTGTGATATACCTCCATTTCCCCCTTTGCCCTTCCCACAGAGCCACACAGGCAGAGGTTCTGTCCTGACTGCAGTTTAAAATTGTCTGGATAAAGTTGGCCTTACTCCATAACAATTAAATCAGAATTTAAAAAGTGGGCCCAGACCACTTAAAAAAATAATTGTTTTTTTTAAGTGATTCTAATGTGCAACCAGTGTCAAGAACCATTTTCCTAGGTGAAGGAAAGAAGAGTCAGTTTGCCTTCCTCCTATGGAAAGTGGAGATACCTCCCCCAACAGAAAGGGACTCATGAGTCTCCTTTCCCCTTCCTTCAGTGCTCTAGTGAGAGCCGTCAGTCTTCTGACTGAAGGAGGGATGTGAATCAGGAGTGCCCAGTCTTGGTTTAGTTATTGGAACTGAACAGAAAATTGCTCTATTAAGGGAGAAACTTCTGCTTCAGTTTCTAGGGTATAGTCTCTTTTACTCTCTCAACCATGTCCTCTGCTATGGCAGAGCTTCAGCTCTTTGGTTGTAGAAAAGGGATTGGGGAGAAAGCAGGTGCTGTAGCTTCTCTGTGAAGAGACAGTGCAGCATCTTCATTTCAGGGCTTACATATGGCCCTTGCCCATGATGCTCATGATAAGCAGCTATTGCTTGTTGTTTTTACTAAGATGTCCCACAGAAAATTATCCAGTAAGCCTTTGCCTCTTTTTTCCATCCCCTGAATTGGCTGACCTCACAGCAGTCTGGAAACCAACCTTCTTAAGCCTTCTGCTGGCCTTCCTTTTCTATCTAAGAGCTGGTACCTTTAGTAGGTTGAAAGTCCTAATATTCGCACTTAGTTATTGGCCTGTCTGCCTGCCTTCCTTTTGCTTTCCTCCAGCAAGAATGGGAGGTTGTTCAGTTGGCAAGCAGATTTACTTTTGGGAGGGGGAGGTTAAGAGAGGTCAGATTGGTTTCTTACCTTTAGTGCATGGTGTGTGTCAGATAACTGGGAGGGGTGGGGGCAGGGAGGCTTATGTACAAAGTGGGTGGGGAGGTTATGCTGCCTCTGTTCCAAGCTGAATCAGAGTGTTAATATTTATACAACTGAGGTTCCAAATTTACCAGGAAGCTTCTGTTTCCTAGGTTGAGCCTGGGTCGGCAGTTTAGAACAAAATCGCCCTTCTTCCTACTTTCCCTTTGGAACATTAGAGCCTAGTCTCCTAGTATGTATGGATTTTTGTGGGATAGAGGAAGTTCTAGACTGGGAATGAGTCAACCCCTGGCCTGAACTACCTATTTCTTCAGGAGGAGCTGACAAGCACAAGTGTGGAGCATATCATTGTCAATCCCAACGCTGCCTATGACAAGTTCAAGGACAAGAGAGTGGGGACAAAAGGACTTGGTAAGACTGGGCTGAAAGTTGGGTGAGGGGGATGCCTAGAGGACAAGCGTGAGAAGTGGCCTCCTGTCCTCATATCTTAGTGACTTTTGCTCTGGGGAAAGGGTTCCTCAGGGAGATCTCTGTTGGAATCCTTCACAGTCACCTGAGATCATGACTGCCCTGGACTGAGGTTAGGCCTTCAGTCCTATCTTCTTTTCTTGGCAGATTTCTCAGATCGCATTGGAAAAACCAAGAGGACAGGATATGAATCCGGAGAATATGAGATGGTTTGTTGTGTGTGTGTGTTGATGGGAATGGTGTGGTGATCCTGTCTAGTAGGCATTTTAATAGGGGATTGAGGAGTATAGTTCAGATTCTGAGTTTCTCTGGTTGTATTCCTCAGGAACCTAGCAGGATGCAGTTGACCATGTTCTTCCCCCCTGCTGTTTGTTCTGGAGCATCTCCAGACCTCTGGGCTATCTCCACATCTTCTTTACTAGGGTGTTGAGGATTCAGTGTGGGATATGATACCTTATAACTTAGGCCCAGGGCTTGGATAAATTCTGGAGGCTTTCTGAATGGAAGGTATAACATCAACGTCCATCCTTGCTTTTAGCTTGGAGAGGGTCTGGCAGTGAAGGAGACACCTCAGCAAAAGTACCAGCGACTACTGCATGAGGTCCAAGAGCTGACAACTGAAGTTGAGAAAATCAAGGTAACTGTATACTCTCTCCTCTTCAGCTCTGCAGTGATTTACATAACAGAAGAGAACCTCCCAGCAGGAAGAGAAATATACCCTAAGCTCCTGGATAAGGGCACTAGGGTTTTCAGAGTTTGGGAGTACACATCTACATTCATTGTTGTTATGTAGGAAGTTTACTATGCTAAAAACCATCCTAGTGACTTTTAGCCACAACTGTCCTTAAGGCTTCTTTTCCCTTGGGGTACTGGTAGTACCCAGGGATATTCTGGACTACATTCCCAGCCCTTTTTGTTTTTAAGATAGGGTCTCGCTAAATTGTCCAGGCTGGCCTTGAACTTATGATCCTCCTACTTCAGCCTCATGATTGGGATTATAGGTGTGCACCACCCTGCCTGGCATCCTTATCCTTAAGGCTATTGATCTTTCTTTCTACTTTTTTTTCCCCTTGATTCATTCCTGCCACCCCTCATTGTGTACCTTTTTTTTCTTCATACCAGACAACAGTAAAGGAGTCAGCCACTGAGGAGAAGCTAACCCCTGTGGTACTGGCTAAACAGCTGGCATCCCTGAAGCAGCAGCTGGTTGCTTCTCACCTGGAGAAGCTGCTGGGACCAGATGCCGCGATCAACCTCACTGACCCTGATGGAGCTCTGGCTAAGTGGGTGCTCCACTTTGTTGGAAATTATTGCTGATTGGAATTATGGAGGGACTCAGCCAGCTTCTAACAGGGAAACTAAGGGGAGAAGTGACCTAGCTGTTCATTATGCTAAGGCAAGAAAAGAATCATCCTTCAAGTCATGATATTATTACTTGGTCTCCTGACCCAGGCGCCTACTGCTGCAGCTGGAAGCAACAAAGAACAGCAAAGGGAGTTCAGGGGGAAAGACCACCAGTGGGACCCCCGCAGACAGCAGCCTCGTCACTTACGAACTACATTCTCGGCCTGAGCAGGACAAATTCTCTCAAGCTGCCAAAGTAAATATATATATAGTGTTGATTGGGGGGCCAGGAGAGACATGGCCCTATAGTTTTTCTTGCATCCCTATGAAGGATCAGACCTGGGGAGAGGGTACTGGGAAGGCTTCTGAGCCATCTTGATGTCTCATTCTCAGTATTTCCCTTGCCCATCTACTTTCAGTTAGGATTTTAAGATTGTGGCTAGGGATGTGGTCCAGGGAAAGGTGTCCCTTGGGGCAGGAGTGGGGAATGGCATACAGACAGAGCTGGTTCTTGTTCCTCCCACCTTAGCAACAGAGAGGTGGATAGCAAATCTTACCTCCTTCCTTCCCCTAGGTTGCAGAACTTGAGAAGCGTCTGACAGAGCTGGAGGCAACTGTACGCTGTGATCAGGATGCTCAGGTCAGGTGCTCTCCTATTCTTAGTCTGAAACTTAGATCTTTCACCCTGAGCCCTAAGGTCTACAACATTCCACACAAACCTGGGAAGACAGAAAAGGGATTCGGTTACTGGGATCAAGTGTTAGAACCAGGAGAGTGGGAGAAGGCAGTAATCATGTGGAGATAGAAGGACAATTGATTTCTTCCCTCCCTTTCCCACCAGAATCCCCTTTCTGCAGGTCTACAGGGAGCCTGTCTTATGGTAAGTATGATAGGAATGGGAATATTGGATTACAGAGGGGATTTGAAGGTTGGGTCTAAGAATTACTTTGGGGTCTGTAGGTATATTTGAACTAACTCTGGTGGAATAGGAGAGGCCTCTTCTTAGTCTTTTACTTTGGTGACACTTGTCCCATCCTTCCTAGGAAACTGTAGAGCTCTTGCAGGCAAAGGTGAGCGCCTTGGACCTTGCAGTTTTAGACCAAGTAGAGGCTCGGCTACAGGTATTAAATGGGGGGCAAATTGGATCCTGGGTGACTTGGGACTTGGAAAGCCCAGATGCCCTCACTATCAACCTCAAAATATGCTTTCAGAGTGTCCTGGGGAAAGTGAATGAGATTGCCAAGCATAAAGCCTCTGTGGAGGATGCAGATACACAAAGCAAGGTCAGGAAGGTATCTTCTCTAGCTTCATACCATTCAACCCTCTTAGCTCTCTCTCCAAGTGCTGACACTGAAGCATAAGAACACAGTTCTCAGCTCCCATAAGCTGTGTGTGTGCGGTACTGGGATAGAACCCAGAACCTCTTACATGCTGGATAAGCACTCTATCACTAAACCACATCCCCAGCCCTCCCATGTACTCTAATTACCTGAGGGAAACAGGGCAGTGCTTCCCTCTGCCTGTTGGTCCTTCCTCAGTCTAGTGAAGTAGCAGTCAGAGGGTTCTTCACTGGCTGCTTCAGCCATAGTCTGTCATGTCCCTCCAGGTGCACCAGCTATATGAAACCATACAGCGCTGGAGCCCCATCGCTTCCACCCTTCCTGAGCTGGTACAAAGACTTGTTACCATCAAACAGCTGCATGAGCAAGGTGAGAAGCTAGATTCCAGTCATTCTAGGAGTTGAAAAGTGAACCACTTTGGTTGCCCTCTCTCAACTTGGATTCTAGTTTCAACCATACCTTTCTTCTTTTGTAGCCATGCAGTTTGGTCAACTCTTGACACATTTGGATACTACCCAACAGATGATTGCCAGTTCTCTCAAGGACAATTCCACCCTCTTGACCCAGGTGTGTGCCCCTTTATTGATTTGATATCACTTTCTTCCAGCATGTAGAGACAAGGTTCTCCAGCTTTATCTCATAGGGTTTTGCCTTAACCTATTTTGTAGCACAGTGTTGTGGCAGAGGCTTGGTTTGATCTTCCCTACTGTTTTTCAGTGTGGGACCTTTGACAACTTACTTAACCTATGAACCCCTGTTGTTCCATTTGGAAATTATACCTTCCTCAGCAATAAGGATGAATTGTGAGGAGGTAGTTGACCTTTCTTCTTATAAAACCTACTGTTTACCTCTGTGTCTCAGTGTGGCTTTACCTTTCCTGGGGTCCTTTTCCAGATGCTCCTGAGCACAGTGCATTGGAAAGAATGTAGGCTTGGGTCCAACCTGGCTCTGCCACTTCCTTTCTGACCCTGGACCGTGAGCATCACCTTCGTTTGTTCATTCTTTTAGTAAGCCTAGCACATACCAAGTCCTCAATTTGCATTGGAAGCACTATTTTCAGTGTTGGAGGGAGCATTAAAGTTGGGAGACCATCATAGGACCATTAAGATAAATGAAAAGTCATATAAAGTACTTGGCATAGTAGTGTTTCTGTAATTTTCTAAAATTTTGAACTAGAGAAACCCTCATTTCAACAAAATTTCATTTGGTTCTCATTACCTATAAAAGATAACTATTTTGAAGTCAGGGTGGGAATTTTTAGGAGTCCTACAGACCTTTGAGCTAGGCCCATGGTACTTTAAGAGTAGCGTGGAAACTGTTGCAGTAAACATTCCCCTTCCAGTATGGCGGTGCAGACCTGTAATCCCAGCAGCTTGGGAGACTGAAGCAGGAGGATTACAAGTTCAAAGGCAGCCTCAGCAACTTAGCGACACCCTGTCTAAATATTTAAAGTGCAAAAAAGGGCTGAGGATGTCCTCCATGGTTGAGTGCCCCTGGGTTCAATACCTGGTTCCCCATCACACACCAAAAAAATCCACCTTGGCGGGCCATAAGCTATTTTTCCTTTTCTTTCTTTTCTTTTTGAGAGAATTTCTTCTGGAGATTCCTCATCCAGGTGAGCACCTGGACCCAACAAGTGTAAAACCTCTCTACCCCACTTTGTAGGTGCAGACAACCATGCGTGAAAACCTGGCCACAGTTGAGGGGAATTTTGCCAGCATTGACGAGCGGATGAAGAAGCTGGGAAAGTGAGCACCTTTGGGAGGTGGAGATCAGGAGTAACCCCTGAACTCTGTTAACAGCGTACATAGGGTTTCCCTTCATTATAACTCAAAAATCCCATCCCATTTTACACTGGGGGCAAGGGTTCTTCTTGCATGTGGGGTTTATACCCCTCCCCTGATGAATACAGAGTGGTAGCTGGAGGATATTAGAAGTGGGCTCCCCTTAGGTCCAGGGGAAGAAGAGATGAGCCCAGCTACATGCCAGCTCCTGGCCAAAACTGCTTTGCCTGGTGTGGGGGAGGTTTGGGCCCTGGCTTCCAACACAGCTTTTGTGGCTGACTATAATATTGTACAACTGTTTCTGACCATTAAATGCTGTTGTACTCTGTGTAGCTTCTACTATGTTTCCTGGGGAAGAGGCAGCACTGAGACACAGACATTCAGGGCACAATAGACAATCTAAGCCACTCTCTACTGAAGACGGATTTCAGTTGTAACCTGTTCTTACCAAAGAACTAAATAAAAAAAAAAAAAAAATGAGTACAGAGCCAGAGCCAGAGTTTCAAAATATTCTCATCTGTTAAATTAAGAGTGTCTCCCATAGAAAAGCAGTGGAGGCCCCATAGGGCAAGTACAAAACAGAATTAAAACTCCCAAGGGTCTTGTCTTTACAAAAGAAAAGGCAGGAGGCAGCCCCTGGACAGCTGGTCATGCTGGCCGCTCCGGTTGGACCACGTTGCATAATCCTCAGTCGCATCATCACAACGTCTCTGAGCATTTTGATTGGGGGGGGGGGGAGAAGGGGCAGTGTAGTGTGTATGGGAGGAGAGACCCAGAGGGCTCTCTTTGCCCCTTTATCCCCTTTTTATATCCCAGAGGAAAGTAGAGGGAACCTGGCTACACCTTGAAATGAGGCTATGTGTTTCAAACCTGGGGACAAGGGTAAGAGGGGATCTGTGCTTTGAGCAACCTGAGCCAGAGGCAGAGGGGTGTTGGAGAGATGAGGGGAAGATGCATGATGCTTATTGCTTTGTACCTTTCACTGGGAAGGAGGGCAGCAGCCAACAGTAGCTCACAGGTTTGTAAACTGAGCCTGCTGGCTTTAAGAAGGGAGGCAATGAAGTCGAATTAAATATAAAAGAGTCATTTGTGCAAAAATAACTTAAATAAAAGACCTGGGGAAGGGGGTGTTCCCCTTAGCGCCTGGTGAGGAGAGGGCCATATGCTACCCCCCCAGGCCTTTTCAGTGACATGGCTTTGGGGGGGAGGGGATGAGCTTCCCTACCCCCTGCAATGGCTCAGGATGGGATTGTAGGGGAAGGGGTTGCATTTGTGCTCTGAGTGGGGAGTAGTGCCCCCACCCACTGTCCACAGGTGCAAGTGGCTGGCAGGGACTCCCAAGGCTCAGCACTCAGCTCTCCCCAATCAGGGTCAGATCCAGCTCCAGGTATGGCTGCTATGGGGCCAGTTTCCTCCTCTTGTTTTTGGCAGGACGGCCAGGGCGGGCCCGGGGAGGCAGAGGGACAGCCGCCTATACCAGAGGGGAAGTTGAAAGAAGTGATCAATCACCTAGGTATAAGGAAGTCTTTTATTTTCTCCCCATTCCCTCAAGCCTCCTTTCCTCCTGTCTCATCCCTTACATATTCCTACCCATACCCACACCTACCCAAATGCACACTTACTCGGGTTGTAGGGCTGGGTTCCAAGGTAATATCCTGGCGGGAGCTATTGCTGTTCCGGGTAGGGCTGCAATAAGGGGCACAGATGATCAGGAACAGCTCCCCAAGCACCAGGTGAATTTCAGAAGGTTGGGTGGGAAACTTTCTACATTTGGATAGTAAAGGCATAATATCCTTATTCATATTCAAATAAATATCTGCCCTTTTTGAAAACCAAGACACTATCTGGACATTTCTGTAATCCCAACAAGGCCAGGCCAATATAGGGGTGGGCCTAACACTCACTTGTATTTTCTCCTCCGGCCACGACGAGACTTTCTGACTATCCCCAGGGGCACCTGAGAAAAGATGGACTGTGTGTATGGGAAAAGTGAGAAAAGGGCATGGGGGTCCCAGGCTTTCCTCAGAGACCCTGAGCTGGGACCTCCCTCACTGCACTCACCTTAAGGTCCTCAGAATGGGGCCCAGGAAGGGGTGGATCCTTAGGCTCAGCACCCCCTTCAGCCAGCTCCCCATTATGCTGCCAGTGGTGGGTCCTTCTTGGGGACCGTTCCATTTGTCCATTGAAGCCACCACGTGTCCCCCATTTGAGGGCCAGTCGGCTAGGCTCCCGCCGGCTGCCAGGCTTTCGGCCCCGGCTCGGCCTGGCCTCACCATTAATGCCCCTAAGTCCCCCTCCTCCCCTCCGGCCCCGTTTCCCTGACCCCCTCCCAGTGAGCAGCTCAGGGACTGGGGGGTCAGAAGAACCATGGGGTGGGGCTAAGGCACTGAGGGGAGGCCGGGCAGGCTCTGGTTCAAGGGCTGAGGTGGGACTCTCGGGGGGCAGACAGGGGGCTTCTGGCTGCTCTGGAGGAATCTGCTGGCAAAAATAAGATCTCAGTCTCAAATACAGTCCTTCTTACTCGTAACTCAGCCCTTAATTTCCAGTTTTAGAAAATTATTCTGACAAAATACCATCCCTGCCCTCACCTGAAGACTCTGTAGCAGGCAGGCTAAGGGACTAGAAGCCTCTGAGAGGGGTGGAGGAGCTCCCCCCCCAGGGAGGAGCTGCAGCCCCAACTGGCCAGAGAGAAGAGAACCAGGAGGCTGCAACAGGCTGGGGAGGGTTCCAGGGCTGCTGGTTAGTGAAGACAGGTCACCTGTTGAGAGATCATAGTCAGGGGTCCTTCCCTAGGCAAACCAATTAGGTTAAGCCTGTTTTCTTCAGGCTTTACCCAGAGGTCAGAGAAGTTCTTCCCCAATCCATCCAACCTCTGCTCCTAATTTTTATTGCTCTCTTTCACACCAAGAGTCCTCCTTCAGACTCACCCAGCAGGCTGGCACTCAGCAGAGGGCTAAGGAGCTGGGGGGGTCTCCCTGAGTTGGAGGGGGCCTTGCCCAGAGAGGAGGCCCCCGGGTCAGTAGTTGCCATGGTGACACTGGAGGTAGGTGGTCCAGGTTGGGGGGCACTCAGGACACAGGGCTAAGAAAGAATGGTTATTGCACTTAACATTTGTAAAGTGTTCACAGACATACTACTTTCTCATACACACAACCTGACTGAAGCTCAAGTGAGGCAGGCTATGCTTAATACATATAGATTACATTCTTCCAGCCATCCTCTCCCCAACCAGACTAAGCTCCCCCGAAAACATCTGAGGAAGAACTCAGGTATGAAACTGAAAGCCTTTGGTTCCCAGAGCTCATCTGATTCTATTTCTTGTTCTACCCACCCACTCACCCCCTATCCTCACCTGGGGGGGTGTCCCCGAGGGGGGATCCAGGCTGGCAGCCAGCAGCGCGGAATTTAAAGCTATGAGGGTGGGGGGGGCTGAAAGGGGAGGGAAAAGCAGGGGGGGGAGGTCTCCCAAACCTGAAAATGGTTCCCCACTTGGACCCCCAGCTCCCTCTGAAGATCCCTCCCCATCCCCAGCTGTGGGGCCCAGGGCCAGCAGGGGCAGGAAAGAGGCAAGGAGGTTGCTAGGGGGTGCAGAAGGGGGTGGCAAAAGGTCTGAGGGGGGTGGTGGAAGCAAGGAAGCTACCAGAAGGGAAGGCCCTTCAGGCTCGCCTGGGGCTAAAGGGGGGCCAGGTCCACCTGGGGGGGGTAGCAGGGGTTCAGGGGGAGGTTGTCCTCCTCCCCCAGCCAGCATGCCAAATAAACTGTGGCTGAGCAATGGAGAAGGTGGAGGTTGCCCCAGATTCAGAGGGAGAGGCAGGGCCCCCAGCATCCCAGGGAAGCCAGCTCCACTCAGCGCCAGGCCCTGCTCAGGACTGGGGAAAGGAAAAGCCTCCCCACCAGACAAGGGAGGCAGAGGGCAAGCTGGGCCTGCCCCCATCCCCAGCCCTTCAGATGGGCTTTGAAGCACAGGGCTAGGGACTATGGGGGCTTTGGAGGCAGCTGGTGGGGCAGGGGCACCTGTAAAAGAAAAGAAATTCAGCTTAAGGGAGGCCCTTTTCTTCCAGCAAAGAACCCAACCTCCCTGCACCAGCCCAGAAAACCGCTGAAGAGCTCTCTAAAACTTTACTCTAAATGCCCTGGCTGCCTCTATCCTCCAAGGCTGAGGAAAGGTTCCATAACACTCACCTGGCACACTGCTGAGGCTGCCACTGGTGGTCCCAGGCAGGGAGGGTTGGATGGGGTGCCTGGGCTGGGGAGGGCTCCCTGAGGAGAGGGTTGGGGGAGGAGGAAGGTGTGCATCTGACCCCAAAAGGTTAAAGCTTCCATCAGAGTGGGAAGGGCCAGGGGTGGGGAGTCCCAGCAGGGACAGCACAGAAGGGAGAATTGGTTGGGATGGCTCTGGAATAGGAAAGGGCGGGGGAACAGGAGCAGGGGCCCGAGGACGGCTCCTTCTAGGGTTTTGAGGACTACCCCCTTCAAGCAATCGCAATACAGTTGGGGGTCGGCGGGGACGACGCTGAGAGGGACGGGGTGATGAGTGGGAAGCTGAGGGTGCCTGGGCACGGGGCCTTCGGCCCTGTAAAGTGCTGGGAGTGGGTAGTGGGGGATGCTGTGCCTTGGCCGCTGCAGAGAGTAGGCTGCTAGCAAGGAAGGGGGGTGCCCCAGGCCCCTCCACAGTGGGGGCCCCTCCCAGGGGTCCCAGGACCAGAGGCAGGTGCATAGTGGCTGAAGACACTGGTGGCTGAGTAGCAGGGCCAGGGGGGCCAGAGGGGCCAGGGAGATTATTGCTTGGGGGCAGGGGAGGGGGTGTTAAGGCATCACTACAGTGGAAGAGAGGAGGGTCTGAGGGTGGTGAGGAAGAGGCATGAGGGGCTGGAGGAGAGCCCAGGTCAGAGGGCACCAGGCTAGATCGGAGAGTGGTTCCCCAGTTGTAAGAGGGGGCATTGAGGCTGATAGCAGGTGGAGGAGGTGGGGCTGGAGAGGGGGCATTGCCCCTTGGGAGAAAACAGGGGCTGCTGCTGCCCCCAGAAGAAACTGGATCAGGAAGCCTTGGTGGTGGGAAGAGTCCCCCAGGGCCTGCTAGAGATGGGAAGGCCTGGGGAACTGAGGGTTGCTCTTGGGGAAGGGAGCCAGGACCCCCATTAAGTGGAGTTATAGAAGGAACTCGACAGGAAGGACGGGTAGAGGGAGGCCCTGGGGACACAGTGTGGAACATCTGGGGGCTTGCTCCCTCTCCTGCAATAAAAGAGAAATGAAAGGTCAGCCTGCAGCTTCCCTTCTAAAAACTTTATTTTCTATTTTTCAGTCCCATCTCCCCCAGGTTCCCAACCTCCCC